ATCTTTATGTGTGTAATTGCTTATTTAAATGTAATAATTAAATGGAGCAGCAAGTCAGACGCTTTAGAACATAAAGTATTAAGATGTGGAGGCTGAAGTTGGTCTTCCATTTGGTTTCCTTTCCATCTTGGTAAGAGTTAGTATATACATAAAACAAGTTAAATCTAAATTTAAAGGTGCATATTAATTTTCAAAAACAAATTAACTTGCTAATTTTTAATTAAATTAAGATAATTGAATTCTTTAAATGCACTTAGTGCTATGCAATTTACTTGATCTTTAAGGTATGCCTTACCAAACTATTAAAAAACTTTGAAGACATGCATTGTCTTACATATTTCATAGTACTATATTTGATACACTAGATTAATGAATTCCCATGAATCCTAAATTGACAACAAAATGGTAATTTTTAGTTTAATCACTAGATGGCAGTAGCTTACAATAATGCATTAAAAAAACTAAAGTCCTGTATTGCGGTTTTAAACGCTACTTTGTAGAATATATTAACCATACTGAACATCTTTTTTTTTTCTTTCTTATTCTCCTTTGACAGTAAGGGATGGGACTTAATCAGTGGTTCCATTTCTCTCGTGTTGGCAATTTAAGTTTTCTCCATGTCATGTGAAATGCTAAGCCAACAGTTTCAGGTATTTGCGTGACTATAACTGACAAAACATGTCCATAATTTGCTGCTCACTTATTTGGATGCCTACTAATTGAAATATATTTGCGAAGTCAATTATTTCCAATGCCTCTGTGCCTTCCTATAATGGTACATGCATCAGGGTTCCCATTCACCTGGCTTCTAGACTCAAAAAAAAAAAAAAAAAAAAAAAAAAAAAAAAAAGAAAAGAAAAGACAGACCAGGGGAAGTGAGACAACTCAATTTTAGCATAGGGCAGAACAAATGAAAACAGTTGGAGACTGACATGAAATTTGAACTCTTTATGTAAATGCATCAATAGTTTGTTTGAGAAATCAGAAATTCTAATCCAGCATTTGGGGTTAATAAATAAAAATCAAGCAAATAATTTCCCTCCCCCCCTTTTTTTTTGCAATTTCCTTATCCTAAAAAGTAGTATTTTTAAGTACTAAAAGGTAGTCTTGGCTTATATTAAGCATATTCACTATTACATTTCTATAGGTAAGAAAACATATTGTTTATTTTTGGCAGTTTTAATGCTTGCATAGAATCTTTGTGTATGCATAATTCTTTTATTTTACAAATGCAGAGATAAAAATAATGAGTATGATCTGGGGTCATCTTAAGTTGTGAAGCATTTGAATGCACATCTCTTAACCTTCTGAATCAAATCCAAAACACACAAGACCCTAGTACATCTGCAAATATCTGTAAGTGTTACTGGCGCCCTTGAAAGAGGAGTAATTTTCACATAAGGTCACAGACACCAGCACTTTGGTGTTATCTTTTCTCTTTTGGAGATGTAGATGAGCAAACTTACATCTTCATACTTTTCAAAAGCAGAAAGTATTGCGGCATGGTGATGTTTCCCTGACAAGAAACTACTCAGGGACACGGTGCCTAGGGTAACAACAGATTCTTAAGTCCAAATGGAAAACTGACTATCATTAGCCTATATTTTCTGTTAATCATTATTCCTCCTGCTCTTAACTTTTTATTTTTTGTTTTATTTTCAAAAATAAAAAATAAGAATACCTTTAGAACTAAAACATTCTTTCATAGCACTCTTAATTATATTTCTTTTATTCTTCTCCCCCATCAGATCCGAGTCTCCCAAGGCAAAGAGCCTGTTCACCTGCTGAGTTTGTTCAAAGACAAACCGCTCATTATTTACAAGAATGGAACATCAAAGAAAGGAGGTCAGGCACCTGCTCCCCCTACACGTCTCTTTCAAGTCCGGAGAAACCTGGCATCTATCACCAGAATTGTAGAGGTAATGTCACACATTCCATAAAACATGCCCTAGTAATGGACTTCCCAATGGACCTGAGCCATCAGTAAATACTAGACTTTTGGCAAGTAAACTCCCTTCATTTCTATAAGTAATCCACTGTTCAAAATTTTAAAAACACTAAAAACAGGAGAGTTAAGTAAAAAGTAAAACTCCAGATACCAGGCCTCTCATTTTTCAGTTGCAATGAACCCAAACAAATGAATTTTAAGAATACTATTACAAATTAGCTGTCAAAATCATGAGGCTGCTTAAGCTCCATCCTGAAAGGCCTGAGGTGGATGGATCACGGGTGATGGTCAGGTGACCGACCACAATGGAGAAATTGTAGAGGAAAGGCCCTCGTTTGCACAAGTGCAACAAATATGGGAGGCATGTCCTGCCACATTGGACCAGAACTGTAACTTAACTGGCCCAATGAGCTGTTTCTGACTGCTTCTGGGAGAGAAATCAAACCCCATGCAATGGTGCCACAAGATAAGAAGACCTTCAGGTATAGACAAGGCCAGCCTGCCCAGGTTTTTAAATGGCTGAGTGCTTTGACCTTAGGACAATCCTGTTATACCTTATCACCATTGAAAGCCCAGTCGCCTCGGTCACCATTGAAATCCAAGTCTCCCCCATCACTCTTACACTGCCTAGCAGACTCCACATATCAAGTCCGGAGCTCTTCCCAGCCTTCCCCTCCATACAAGCCAATCAGCAGACCCGTTAAGCCCGGGTTGATCATCTCATCCCTCCACCTGCAACTTCTCTAAGCCTCCCTCTGCCTGCACCTGATTTCTCTAAGTCTGTCCTCTGAGGACAGATTCCCCTGCAGCGTTCCCTAGTGGAAGTTGTGTTTTCCCAAGGCCCACTTACCATGGCCTCAGGATAGGGCTGGACAAGTTCCCTCCCTGCTGACTCTTACCTCTTGGATTTTATCTTGCCTCTCTCCTTTTTAATCAGACTTTCCCTACTCCAGACCTCTTGTGCTCTCATAGACTGAACTGCCTGTCCTTGCCCTCTTCTTTGATGGCTTCAGCCATTGTCTCACTATTTCCATCTCTCTGGCTTCTCTCTTCCAGCAGTCTTTTCCTTGACTGCATTTCATCTCACATTCACATGGTCCTAGACTACATTTTGCCATTTGCAGTAACTATAGCTCCTCAGAAATTTGTTCCAGTCATCTAATCAATGACAACTGTCTCCTGTCCTTTGGCCCCTTTTCTCCAGAATGCACATTCTGACAATTCTCTAGGCCTATAGCTGAATCCATGAACGCTCTGGCTCCTTCACACCCCATCCTTCATGTCCTCCTTTCTCCCGAGATCCCCAGCACCCACTTCTCTCTACTGATAACTCTGATTCAGAGTTCACAGAGAAGATAAATTTTGTTTAAATCACCTTATCCACTCCCCTGCAATTTCATCAATTTGTCTGCATCTGTATATATATTCTCTTTCCCTCCTTTTTTATGAAATAGATATCAAATTTTTATCTACATTTTTAAGTTCATAAATATATTAGCAATTTCCATATAATAAAGTATCTTATAAGTGAATAATATATACTATTATCCATAAATTAGCAATGAATAATATATTTGTGTAAAGTGATATATCAATAAGTTATTTATTAAATGTTTATTACATAGCCTATGGCTCCTATCTAAGGCCCAATTCCTCCCCTGCCCATCTGGCCAACAAATTCTATCCAGGATCCCTTCCTCTCTTGCTTTCCTAAGGAATCTCCTGGATTTCCGTCTTTCCCGTGCATTTATTCTGCTTCTAGTTCATCGTGATTGCAGGCAGTAATCTCCTGTCATTTCTGTATCATCAATTTATTTTTCTATCTGGAATCATTTACTTTGAACTACAAAGATGGCTGTAACAAAAACCTCCTGTCATTTCTTTAAAAACTGTGTCTTGACCTTGACCATGACCTTCTCCAGCTACTACATCATTTCTCTGTCCTTCTTAAGAGAACATATTATTGAAAGGTTTGTCTTAAGTGTTTTCACTCACTCACTATGCCTACTTTTTAAAGCCAGTTCTCTCTAAAGCCACCTCAATCAGGTGTCCATCCCACTAGTCCACTGAAACGGTTTTTATCTAGTTTGCCAATGACCTCCCCCATGCCACAATCAAAGGTCACTTCTCTGATCTCATTTTTCTCAGCCTCCCACTAGCATTTGCCAGTCAGCTTTCCCAGGTTTATTGAACACTTCTTTTTTCACTAGGTGAACGTATCCCCACACTTACTTACCATGGTTTCTTCCTAACCTACTGGCCACTCCTCCTGGGGTCGTTTGCTGGGTTTTCCTCTTCTGCTTGAACTCTAAGTCCTTGGGCGCTCCAAGCCTCAGCCTTGGCCCTTTCACCATGGTCTCATTCAGTCATATGGTTTAAATGCTGGCATATGTATTGATCTCATCCAGAACCTTCTGTACACACCTTCTGTGTTTAATTATGACTACTTTTTTGACATTTAAAAACTATGACATTTAAACACACATTAACTATGAGCATTCTCAGTTGATTTCAGATGGGAAAGTCAACCAAAATGCACCATTGTTACATTCTGATCTCTTCCCCAGTGGGTATTCCTTTATGAGACCTCATCAGCTGCTTGCAGTGCATCTCTTTACCTCCCTGCAGCCTCTCAAACCAGATTTCACATTCCTAGCCTCTCTAAAATGCACCAGTCAAGATCATTTTACAACTCTTCCTGTCTTCTTTTCCTGGCAGGCTACGGCTTTATAAAGGTTCTGTTTTAGATCTCATTTCCTGATCTCACAACAGTCTAGGCACGGGTCTCTTGTCACCTTCTATCCATCATCCTGGCTCTTTCCTCTGTACCCATAATGAGATGTATAGATTAGAAATTGGAGGCTCGGGAAGCTAGACTTGGTTCCTGTAATTCTCCACCATCACATCTGATAGATTTCTTGGAGCTTGGTCTGTGAGGCCTCCTTCCTGCTGGGAGAGGAATTTAACCATTTTCCTGAATTTTCCCAATTCCTGGACATGCCTTTAAAACTTCCAACAGCCACTCCTTCCTCCTCTTGTGGTCTCTCCTTGGAAAGCCTCCTGACAAACCTGGTGAAATTCAACTCTCCACATTGTGGATGCCTTAATCCTGGCAGTTCAGTGTGGTTGGCCAAGCAGCACCATTTGGCACAGCACATCACCCCTGTCTTCTTAAAGCATTTTCCTCATTTGCCTCAAGATCACTACACTCTCTTGTTTTCCTCCCTCTCAGCTGCTCCCCTCAGTCTTGCTTTCTGGTTCTTCTTCCTCTTTCTGGAATCACACATCATACTTGTTCCACAATTATGCAGAAAGTCATACCAGTGACATAGTACCACAGTCATATGTTCAGAAGGTTCTCATAGTGATGGACACAGAGTCATAAATTCACAAGTGACACAGACCACAGTGCTCCTACTCTAAGGTTTAAAACACCATGGAGGTATCCCAGAGCTGCCTTGATTTAATTTCCTGGGATAGGGCAGAAGGCTATGGATGCTTTGCCACAGTCACAGTTTCTGGGACATGTTTATTGAGGGAGCAGCAATGAATTTTAATCACTGTTTTATTTTTCTTCATATTTCCAGGTTGATGTTGATGCAAATTTACTGAATTCTAACGATGCTTTTTTCCTGAAACTGCCACAAAATAGTGGCTACATCTGGATAGGAAAAGGTGCTAGCCAGGAGGAGGAGAAGGGAGCAGAGTATGTAGCAGGTGTCCTCAAGTGCAAAACCTCAAGGATCCAAGAAGGCAAGGAACCAGGTGTGTGCTGTGGGGCCAAGGGCACTAACTAGAATATATATTGATATGATGGCTAATCATCCTTTTTTCACCAAAAAGTCACTTTCTAAAGACTTATAAGGGTTAACACTCTCTCCATTAGTTGGGGTTGGTGATGGTACCTGATTTCTTTAAGTAACTTCTCAACATTGATGTCAAAGTGAGATAATGTTTGTTCATGTAAAGCAATAGCAAGCATATGTCCCTGAAAATGCACTGGATGACTGAGTGTGTTTTCCACAGAGGAGTTCTGGAATTCCCTTGGAGGGAAAAAAGACTACCAGACCTCACCACTACTAGAAATCCAGGCTGAAGATCATCCACCTCGGCTTTACGGCTGCTCTAACAAAACTGGAAGATTCATTGTAAGTGTCTTTAAACAGTGGGATAGAACCTAACAATGCTGGGAGGGGCATTACCATGTGGCTCTGACACTGTCAGACGTGCTATTGTTTTGAATCTCAGTTTCAGCCTGCCTGCAAACCATGCTCTACACAGGCTGTTTTTTTTTTTACTTTTATTTTAAGTTCAAGGGTAAATGTGTAGGTTCATTACATAGGTAAACTTGTGTCATGGGGGTTTGTCGTACTGATTATTTCATCACCCAGGTATTAGGCCTAGTATCCATTAGCTATTTTTCCTCATCCTCTCCTTCCTCCCACCCTTCACCCTTTGATAGGCCCCAGTGTATGCTGTTCCCCTCTATGTGCCCACGTGTTCTCATCATTTAACTCCTACTTACAAGTGAGAACATGCAGTATTTGGTTTTCTGTTCCTTACACAAGGTATTTTTAAGGGATAATGATGTAATGAAAGTGAAAGCATTAATACTGTTATGTCCAATATAGATCAAGCTGCTCTTAAAAATACCAGCTACTTTACACCTCTGTGAGCATGCAGTTGCTGTATGAATATGTATGTGGTTGGATTTCTTAATTTAATAATTTGGCATTTTCTATGGGCAGCAATTGTTGTTTCTGATCAAACTATGTAAATTTTACAAGTCAATTTCCCAGCTGAGAAAAAATTTTCACCATGTTGACTGAATTAAAAACATTATGGAAATATGATCATTGGGCAAAATCACAGAAAGCTATATATGCAGTTGCAAATTAACTGAAATCAACAGGAATGATTCATTCCATAGTCATTTACAGGCTTTGACTTCTAGTCAATCAGAAGTAAAGTTAGAAGTATGTGTATACATGTCTTATTTCAAGCTACTATAACAAAAATCCCATTAACTGTGTGGTTGAAACCACAAACATTTATTTTTCACAGTTCTGAAGGCTGGGAAGTCCACGATCGAGGCACCAGCAGATCTGACGTCTGGTGAGGGACCACTTTCTAGTCTCCTTGTGTCCTCACATGGCCAAGAGAGCAAGCTCTAGTCTCATTCTTTCCTTATAAGGACACTAAGCAGGGGCACTGCACCCTCATGGCCTCGTGAACCTAATTACCTCCCAAAGGCCCCACCTCCTACTACCATGCTACTGGAGTTAACAAGGAATTCTGGGGGAAACAAACATGCAATACAAAACAATACAAGAGCGATTTTACACTGCACTCTGGAATATCCTGGACCACAGCCTCTCACCTCAGTTTCAAAAAAAATGTTATACTCTGTTTGATGTACTAAGTTTTCGGTAAATTTTTCATTTAAAGAATTAATTCCTCTTTTATATAAAATTTGATCTACAGATTTTGGTCAACATGTCCTAGTGAATGAATGCAAACTTTATTTTTCAGCACAGGAAAGAAAATTTCCCATGTACTTTGCCAGATACTTTGATTACTAGAAATAAAATTATTTGAGATGAAGTGGTTCAAGTCCCACTTGCAGCTTATAAATGATTTGACCTACAAGTTAAAGATTTAAGCAGTGCATTGAGATAAATACTTGGTTGCTATATACAACAATTTGTTCACCTACTTTACAGGAAATCCCTGACCTTGTTATATTTTATAGATTTGTCATCAGAAAAATCTGCCATTTTATTGTTTTGACTGTTAACTTGATATTGCATCCAAGCAACTTATATTTTAGCATATGCTTCTGCAATTTCCTATTAGCATTATTTATCAACATTGCTATAAATAAGTTGTTTGTTTCCAAGAAAGATATGTTTTACAAAAATAAATACCGAGCCTTTGTTCTCAGTTGGGTTTTAAAAAAATCTGTTAGTTTTTGGCTTTTTGTTATGCACATATATTAGCCTTTAGGAGAAATATACATTTCCTCTGCAGCAATTCACTTTCTTGTTTGATATCTGGAACCCCTTCTGCTCTCTTCATAGTTTAAGGAAAAGGATTATTGCTAAAAGGTATTTGATCTTATAATTACTATCAGAAAGTAGGCTTTACACGTGTAGATTTCTATGAGGCAGCTACAAGGCAGCAGAAACTATTAGCTAAAAGCACTGCTTTTAGAACTAATCTGCCCACGTGTTGTCACTTAACTGGTGGTAGTACTTGATGGCTGTGTGACTTTAGGCTGGTTACTGAGTCTTGGCTGTATTTGTCTCAACTGAAAAATGGCGATAATCATAGTATCTACTTCAAAGGGTTGTGAAAATTAAATTAGCTGATGCATGTAAAAGATTAGCACAGTGCCTCACACCAAGTAAGTGCTAAAGTTATTCTTTTTTCAATCATTATGTGATTGTTATATGTCCTATAAAAAGATAATATAAACAAATTATTTGCCCCCTAAATGGTTAGGGCTTTTTGTTTGTTTTGTATAACAATCTCAAAATCTCATCAGACTATAACAAACATGAATTGTCATGGTGAGATGTCTGCATGCTACCTGGAACTAGGTTCGTCTAAGCTGGGTGCATGTTTTAGGTTTATGCATATTTTTCCAGGGACAAAGCCAAGGACACAAAAGGCCCCTGATGAGTCACCTTTGTTAATATGACATGGCCCAAGGCCCCGGTCAGCTCCACTACACTGCAAAGTTACATGACAGAGGGAGTAAATAAAGAATTGAGAACCATAATCCAAACTCCTGCCTAAGGATCAGAGGGTTTTCACCCAGAATTCTCCAAAAATGAACTTTACATTAATACATGCCCATTGATACTGGATGGATGAAGCTAACCCTTCCATTACCCTTTAATGCTAACTATAATGTAACACAAATTAACCCGTTAAAAATAAAAACAAAATTTTGCACATGCAATATTATGTTATAATGTCATCTTATTGAAAATTTTTGATTTATTAAAATTAGCAGGCGTATTGACTTTTTAAAAGTAATCTTGACCTACAAAATGAAAGATAATTTAATACTCAGACCATAAACTCAAATATCTTTGGGAACTAGATAGGCAACATAAATCTGTGAAACAACTAGTCATAAGGGACTGGAAGTACAAAGGACTGTAAGCAAATTGACTATATATGTGGGCATTCAAATGTGTCAACCTTAAAGATGAGATTTAGAAAACATGATTAATTGTATAGTTTATGGAAATGCAAGGCTTAAGGATAGCCACCCGGGAAACACTGACTCCAAATGAATGGGATCAGCATTTTAAAGTGGAGGATTTCACGTTTCACTGACCATAAGCAGACAGAGAAATTTAAGCAGGATTATGTAATTTTTTTAAATATTAGACCAGTGTATACTTATAGTGATTTGATTAGTTACAGATTGCTATTAAAACATTTCAAGGAAGAGTACTTTCTTACTCTGTGGGGAGTGATGATCTGAGGGTGGTCTTATCTCTGGCACCCTTTCGTATTCCTGATTATTTGCAGAAAAAAAGGCAAAAGTTGGAGTGCATGCCTCAAGACTCAGGCCACATAGCCACATTCCTTTTAAAGCTCAGAACACTTTAAGGTTCCACCAGCTTTATATTTGAATTACTTAATTTCACAAATGTGGTGTTTATATTAAACACTGTGCTGGCCAAATAAAATACCATCAGTTTGTAATGCCAAATGATTGAAATTTTTATTACCTGAAAAAGAAGGAAAAAATTACTACTAAATTTTATTTTCACTATGCTCAAAAAAAAAAAAGAAAAAACAGGGCATTTATATCCTATGCATTAGAAATATTACTGCTTTACTGTTTGCTCATATAGCTTTTTATACCTTTCAGATTGAGGAAGTTCCAGGAGAGTTCACCCAGGATGATTTAGCAGAAGATGATGTCATGTTACTAGATGCTTGGGAACAGGTAAAACTACACTTTGTTCATAACAAGAGAATACATTTTGGGTTGGGAGATGACAGAACTTGCTTTGAGAAATGGTAAGTCTAGATATAAATGAGCCTAAAGATTTAGACTGTATTAAAATACACACACACACACACACAAACACACACACACACACACACAGAGAGAGTAAAAAATGAAACTAATACATATGGCACGTTGATTTCTTACTATGAAAATATTCCAGAGCTACCATCTTTGGTTTTACAGTTGTAGGCAAAAAATTATGTTTTTTTTATTTAATTGTAAAAGTTACTCATTCCTAATTTGTTTATAATTCATTTAACTAATAAGTGCATTAGTGTGTACAATGTCCTGGGGGTACAATGCCATTTAGGAAAGCGACATATCCAAAGTTTCTCTTGAAATTTGACAGGAAGTCATGGGTACCCCTCCCTTAGGGAAGAAAACAGGCAAAATTGTTTTGAATCTACACGATAAAATATGTTACTGTTTTATGTATCTTAATTTTCAAGAAAAATAATGGTGATTCGACATGCCACATCGAATAGTTTTTTTAAGGTCCACGTAAATTAACAGTGAAAGAGAAAAGTACATACATTATGAATTAAATCATATAGAACAAGTGTGAAATGCTTATCTGAATTAGGCCTAGTCTTAGAGTCAAGCACAGAGATTGTTCCTTTTAAGTTTGTTCCCAATTGACAAACCATTCAGTTATATCACACCCTAGCTTCTGATCTACAATGACTATGTTTGACTTGATGGCCCAACATCAGATTCTTGCCAAGTTAATGAATTACCTATTTCTAGATTAGATTTAAATCTCCAGGTCAATAAAACACTCTGTGTATTTAAGAATTTATGCAGCTGGGTGCACAGTGGCTCATGCCTGTATTCCCAGCACTTTGGGAAGCTGACGCGGGTGGATCACGAGGTCAGGAGTTCAAGATCAGCCTGGCCAACATGGTGAAACCCCATCTCTACTAAAAAATACAATATTTATCCGGGCGTGGTAGCAGGTGCCTGTATTTCCAGCTACTCAGGAGGCCAAGGCAGGAGAATTGCTTGTACCTGGGAGGCAGAGGTTGTAATAAGCCGAGATCACCCCACTGGCACCCCAGCCTAGGTGACAGAGCAAGACTCTGTCTCAAAAATAAGAATAGTAATAACAAAAGAATTCATGCTTCCTTACTGATATATATTTAATTTTTCTTATATTTAGTTAACTCTGTTGTTTCTGTAATCATCAATACTTTTTAGAATATTTACCATGCCATCTTTCATTTTTTAAAATCGTACTTTTTATTTACTCTACCATGCTGTCATGGTTTGTTCCATGCCCTGCACACAAATATTTCAGCACTTTCTGTATGAATTAGAGTACAGTCTAAACATAACAGACCAAAATTGCTCTGCCAACAAGTGATTTTAAAGTGATTTCAATGGCCAGGTGCGATGGGCTTACGCCTGTAATCCCAGCACTTTGGGAGGCCAAGGTGGGCCGATCACGTAGTTGGAGACCAGCCTGGCCAATGTGGTGAAACCCCATCTCAAAACAAAAAGTGATTTCAATGTAAGGTAATTTAGGAACTTTTTTTTCATCATTAAAGTACCCAACCCACACATTTGACAAGGAGGATATATACAGATTGCATAATTTATCACTTTTTAAAAAAAACCTTACTATTTAAACACTAAACATTATAGCATTTTTACCAACATCTTATAGGGAGGGCACGCTACTAGAGGAGATAAACACTAACCTTAAGTCAGAGGTTCCTAGAGGGAGTCTGGGATCACCAGTCAACAAGCTCTGTGTCTAGATGTGGTCCCTTCCAGCCGACGTCCACATCTAGGAAACGGGGATAGTGACTGTGTAAGTAAGGCCAAGAGAAAATCTCCCCTTCGCTGTCCGAAGGGTCACATAAAAATCAGTTGATAAAAGGCAGATTAATAGGAGAAAAGACATACAAATACATGAATGTGCACAGGAGTCATACAGAATGTAATAACTAAAGAAATGGCCAGACGGTTGATCCTTTTGTACCATTTTGAAGTTACAGAAAGAATGGGGGATTGGAGGAGGGCAAAGCTGGTTATGGGAGACAGAGAAGAGGCCTCGCCAGGAAAGGTGGTGATGTTACAGATAAAACCTCACATAAAGTATAGATGGTAAATGTTTCTTTCAAACCTTTAAGGGTATCAGACTCTCAGTAAATCTTCCCTAGATGCCAAAAAGGGAGGGCCTCAGAGAAAGCCTGCTGTATCAATGCAGATTCTCTACAGATGCAAATCTCCTTCCACAAAAGGCAGATTTGCAGGGCTATTTCTGTTTGCTAGTCCCCTGAACAGCTATATTGAAATATGTCAAAGAAGTGTATTTAGAGGTGAAATATTTTGGTTTCCTTTGACTGCCATCACACCCTAGGGGGTGGATGAAAAAAAAATCCACCCAATCTGTTGTTTTTATGAAAGGTCACTTTATAAACTAGAAAATACCATGTAAATATAAAATATCCAAGTGTGAAATGTGAAATGAAACTGGTTGGATATAATTTAGATGTCTCCTGATGAGTGTGAACACTGGGAAAGTGATGGTACCTCTCTGGGTCACCGCCTCCACCTCCCTAACTTCTGGGGATGTTGTGAGGATTCAATGAGCAGTGTGTGTGAAGCACTTTGCATAGGGCCTAGTACTGAGTCAACACCCCAGAAACCATACATATTGTTATTGTTTCATTTTTCAGATATTTATTTGGATTGGCAAAGATGCTAATGAAGTTGAGAAAAAAGAATCTCTGAAGTCTGGTAAGCTGAATCAATGGACAACTATGGCAGTAACCTGTCGCTATTATGACCAAGTGTCTGACTGCTCTTTGCCACCATGTCTTACAATAATACAATTCAAAATCGAGAAGTAGTTTAGCATTCATCCTCAAAACTAAAGAGTAATGGGATTTTTTGAACTGAAGAATTTCAGAATAGGCACAAGAAAAAAATATGTTATCTAATTTAAAATAGAATTATATCAAGGTAACCTGAAAAACTTAAATTCACTTCAACCTTTGTTTTATTATACGAAGAGTAAAACCTCCATGACTGCAATAAGCCAGATTTTTTAAACTTCCTTTTGACTAATGCTGTTCTTTCTGGCACAATTTTCCTTTTATTGAAAAGTATAACAATAATTATGCCACAAGGACAGTTCCATAAATCTTGGAATTCTCTCAGGCATTAATGAGACTCACATGATGCCTTTCATGGCAAATGACAGAAATCAAATGAAATCGTTTTTATTTGTCTACCTGGTCAATGGAAATGTAATTCATTACCTTCATTTGAAGAATTTTATTCAAATTTTATTCATTTTCAACGTGGCCAGTATTTGTTCTTCAAGAAATTTATTTTATTACTTTTATTGGAAGAATTTTCTATCTATATTTACTTTAGTTTAAACCAAACTAACTGAATTTATATGTCTTTATAACTCTTTTTAGCAAAAATGTACCTTGAGACAGACCCTTCTGGAAGAGACAAGAGGACACCAATTGTCATCATAAAGCAGGGCCATGAGCCACCCACGTTCACAGGCTGGTTCCTGGGCTGGGATTCCAGCAGGTGGTAAATCCGGTGTTTGTAAAAACCAAACAAACATTACAAGCCAGTTATCCCATTGGTGTTTTGGTAGAGGAAAAGAAAAAGCTTTTTTATTTGTCTTTTGAAAATTAAGGCCAGGGTGGTGGCTCACGCCTGTAATCTCAGCACTTTGGGAGGCCAAGGCGGGTAGGTCATTTGAGGTCAAGAGTTAGAGACCACCCTGGTCAACATGGAAAAACCCCATCTCTACTAAAAATACAAAAAAACTAGCTGGGCATGGTGGTGCGCACCTGTAATCCTAGCTTTTCGGGAGACTGAGGCAGGAGAATTGCTTGAGCCCGGGAGGCTGAGGTTGCAGTGAGCCGAGATTGTGCTACTGCACTCCAACCTGGGCAACAGAGTGAGACTTTGTCTCTAAAAATAAAAAAATTAAAAAAAAAAATTAACCTCAACCAAACATATTTTTTAATGCTTAGTTTTGATTTGAAATTCTTCTTAAACTGGAATTTTCTTACATTAATATATTAAAATAACCTAAAGGAAACTTTCATTATGGGCCAATATTAGCTCTTCTGGAAAGTGATTTATATCTTTTTTTTTAATGACTTTTAAACATAAATTAGTATGCACAACCTAGAGAGATTTGTCAGGTAGGAAATTTTATCATGCAGTAGCCATTCATCAACATCAAACATGTTTTTTAACATGCCAGAGAAGAAATCTGTAATGCCTTGGAAGTTACTCTCTTTTCTGTATATTCTGTTCAAAAGATGTGTATGGCTTTAACAGTTTGTTGTTATTTTCCTTCTTTAATCAATGTGACTTTGATGCCATTAACTCCTGAGTGTTATTTTCTAAGAGGAATTTTATCTTTTTTTAACCTTTTTAAAAGCCTTTGAAAACAGTTCTTTCATGACAAAATGAACTGTATTGTTATCCACTTAAATATATATATTTGACAGTAAATGTTTAATATCACAAAAGATACATATAGAGAAATTTCACTAGTGTCTTTCATTATTAAAATACATCTCCTTGAAAGTTTTGTGTTACAACATTTTATTCAAATTTGATGATTTAATTACACTATTAATTTTAAGGTAAAATACTTCTATGCATAAGTAGATTTGAGTTTAATATTTCTTAATTCATCCTCATTATGTGGTCAAAATTAAACAGCTATTCCATGGTTAGATAATTATGAAAATTTTAAAATATGAGATTGCATGTAAACACAGGTCCCCAGAAAATAGGAGTTGGGACAGAATCTGGAGCCCCAGTAAAGTAGAAATTGAATTTGGTCATTGGGTATAGGACTGGGTAGTTGAGGAGGGAAGTTACACTTCATGGGAAGAGGAAACAAAGCAGGGAAGTGATCTGAGGAGTTCTCTGGGGAAATAAAGGGCATATGTGTTTCAAATTTGGTCCTGGCATGGAGAAGTGGGCCCAGTTTGATTATGGCCTAATGGTAAATGCTCCCATGAGGTCCTGGGGCTTGCGTGGGAGGTAAGAAAGCAGAGAGAAGCTGCACTTCCAGGCACTGTTCATTCAATAAACATTTATTAGGCATATATTCAGTATCAGGCACTATTCCAGGCACTTTGGATTCAACATGAATGAAACAGACAAAGTCTAAGCTTTTATGGAAGTTTTTATACTCTAGGGAAGAGGCAAAAAAAAATCAACACATAGATATATTATGAAATATATTAGAAGATATGTCCTATGGAGAAGATAATATAGGGAAGGAGGCTAGGCAATACTAATAGGATGGTCAGGGGAGGCCTGGTTCAGTAGGTGATATCTAAACAGAGAATCGAGGCCACATGTGTTGGCTCACACCTGTAATCCCAGCACTTTTGGGAGGCCGAGGCAGGTGGATCATTTGAGGTTAAGAGTTCAAGACCAGCCTGGCCATCATGGTGAAACCCCATGTCTACTATAAATGCAAAAAGTAGCCAGGTGTGGTGGTGGGCACCTCTAATCCCAGCTACTCAGGAAGCTGAGGCAGGAGAATCACTTGAACTTGGGAGGCGGAGGTTACAGTGAGCCAAGATCACACCATTGCATTCCAGCTTGGGCAACAAGAGCAAAACGCTGTGTAAAACAAAAAGGAAAAAAAAGAATCGATAGAGAGTGGGGAGTAAACCTCAGGGTTACATGCAGACTGAAGGAGTACCAAGAGCAAAGGCTTTGAAAGGAAAGCATGATTGGCAGAATGAGCTGAAGTCTCAAGAAGCAGAAAAATTCCAGAGTTCTCTTCTACTGTCACCACTGGACTAGAAAAGTTTTCATCACAGCCTGAGCTGTGAGAATGCTGCTTTTCCAAATCCCAAACACAGAGGCTCAGAGGCAGTGATGCTAACAAGACAGCAGCATTAGCAGCACAAGCATGGTGGGGAGGAAGTACCTATGCCCTTTGCCCAGCCTGAACAGTAGAGGTGAACACAGACATTGCCAGCAACTGTGTCCTAGAAAGGGTCAGCTATGGAGTTGGCATTTTAATTTCACAACTAAAGTTGATGTGGCTTGAAGAAACACCTGCAACACAAGTAAAATCCATATAAAACAAAAAAAAAAACAACCTACTTCTGAAAAGGTGAACATTTGCAGGATTAAAGAAAATTATTCTAGAGAATGTTCCGTTGTTCAATGACACTGTGTAGTCTTACAACTCAAATTACATGTAATTCCTCATAGAAAATAGTTCCTTGGATTTGAAGTGCAGTTTCATACAGCCTAATTAACAAATAGAAAAGTTTCATAATTACTTGTTTTTCTTTGGGGGAGCTAATACTTATTAATTTTTGATATGAAATAGATTTCTTTCTTCTCTGCTTTTACTCACAGATTTTGGGGATGAGAAATCAAAACAAATATATTTAGCCTCAGCTACCAGTGCTTTACAGACCCTTTCTTGCCCTAAACAATACAGCACATTCCTAGTTGTTTGAAATTTGTGACTAAGAAATAAAAAATATATATATTTTAATGAATCCAGAAAAATTAGAAATAATTATTCTAGTAAGAAATAATGAGTTGGGCACAGTGGTATGTGCAGGTACATACCACTGCACATACTACTTGGGAGACTGAGGAGAGAGGAAGGTTAAGGCCGTAGTGAGCTATGATAGCAACTGTGAACAGCCACAGTACTCCAGCCTGGGCAACACAGTAAGATTAAGATCCCATCTCTGCAAAAATAAAAATAATTATAAAAGAGTAGTACATCTCAAGCATTAAAATAAAGAATCAAGTTATGGCATTACTTTGAGCAAAAGAACAGGAAACAGTACCCAGGTAAAATCAACAATTGTTTTGTGGCCTTAGCTATTATTTGTTTGCTTTGTTTTGCAAAATAATCAGTAAAATGGATTTAAAACAATTTCTAATCAAATTGTTATAGAGGGATATAATTCTAATCAAAATGAAGAAAAGAATAATAATATATGCAGCATGGGCGTGTTGTAATTTTTTTAAATGCATTTTCAAAAATTGTCTTGCTCTGTCTTCTTATTTTCTCTTCACTATGATGACTTCCCTTTTAGTTTTAATGACTTATGCTAGATTCTTTTAAAGTATAATATGTATTATACATATTCCCTAAAATATTCTTTTTCTATTAAATACCAAGTGAGCTTACTGTGCTACCTAAAATATTCATGATGCAATGCTTTGGTCTTAAAGGAAAAAAAAATTAAAAGATGGATTCACATCTTACTATGCGTGCCTGGTAAATTCCACGTCATTCAGAAATTTTAATGTGAAAATGAAACCGTGAAAATAATGTACAAATACATGAAATTACACTGGAATAGAGAAATCATCTCTCAGTAGCTGACAGAACAAGAAGAATCTAAAAGACTTGAATAATACTTTCAACCAACTTAATCAATTTGATATTTACTGAACACCACCAATAACACCAGCATGTATATTTGTTTTTTTAAGGGAACTTAAAATATTTACCAGGACAGAAAATATTCTGGGCCATAAAACAAATGCCAACAATTAAAAAGATGAAATCATACAAACTGTGCCTCTAATCACAATGGAACTAATTGAGAAATCAAAAGCAGATATCTGGCAAGTCCTCAAATATTTGGTAAAAGAAGAAATCACAAGAAAAATTAGAAAATATTTTTATCTCAATGAAAATTTAAACCAGCCTATCAAAGTATGTGGAATACGGCATACAGCTTACCTAGTTTTTCTTTTCTTTCTTTTTTTTTTTCTTTTTTGAGGTGGAGACTTGCTCTGTCACCCAGGCTATGGCTTACCTTGTTTTTAAAAGGAAATATAGGCTGGGCATGGTGGCCCATGCCTGTAATCCTAGCACTTTGGGAGGTCGAGGTGGGCAGATCACCTGAGGTCAGGAGTTCGAGACCAGCCTGACCAACATGAAGAAACCCCATCTGTACTAAAAATACAAAATTAACTGGGCGTGGTGGTGCATGCCTGTAATCTCAGCTACTCGGGAGGCTGAGGCAGGAGAATCACTTGAACCCGGGAGGCAGAGACTGCAGTGAGCCAAGATCACGCTGTTGCACTCCAGCTTGGGCAACAAGAGTGAAACTTCAACTCAAAATAAATAAATTAATTAAAATAAAAAGAAATTTATAGCATAAAATGCTTACATTAGGTAAATAAAAAGCCCTCAAATCAATAATCTAAGCTCTTACCTTATGAAATTATAAGATAAATTATATCTAAAATAAGAGGGAATGATAACATTTTTATTAGAAGAAATTAATAAAGTCAAAATTTGGTTCTTCTGAATTATAAAATGATAAAAATTCTAGCCAGACTAATAAGAAAAAAGGGAGAAAACATAAATTACTAATATCAAGATTAAGAAGGATACCACCACTGATCCTATGGACATTAAAATGTATAAGAGAAATAGTTTATGCCTATAAACTTGACATTGATGAAATGGACAGATTCCTTGGAAGGCAGAAACTACTAAAGCTAACTCAGAAGTGGACAGATAATCTAAGTAGGAAAATGCACACACACACACATTAATGACATTAAATTAATCCTAGCAGTTTGTGAGGCCAAGACAGGCAGATTGCTTGACCCCAGGAATTTGAGACCAGCCTAGGCAACATGGCAAAACCTCATCTCTACAAAAAGTACAAAAATTAGCCAGGCAACCTGGCAAAACCT